GAACCCCCAACCTCGAATATATCTATCCCTTCGGTCCGCCCCCACCCCCCACCCCCAGCTCCCAGCTGCCGCACCCGAGGATTCCCTCACCCCGCCACAGCAGTGGATCCCTTTCTCCAACCCTCTTCCTTACAACGGTCACATCCGATCCGACGGCTCACTCCATCCTCAACGGTCACGCTCCTAGGACTTTCTCTCCTCTGCCAGTCTGCAACCCATCCTAGAGTTCCCCCCTCCCCATCAACGAGGGACACACCCCAAAGTTAGCCAGCTTGAACTCACCGGAGGCAAGGGCGGGGGTGGCGGCAGCAGCCAGAGAGCACGGCCCGAGTGGTGTTGTAATGGTTTCCTGCACGTCACGACTCCTTTTCCAGGTCTAAGCCACTGCGCAAAACTCACTTTGCCAGGGACAAAGATGGTGGACAGGAAATTCTGACGTCAGAGAACCTCGCCGCGCGACGTCATCCCCACGCGCGAGAGAAAACCGAAAGTCGGTGATCTCTGTCGCCTTGGTGATGGATTTTGCTTGGTCTGGAAGAGACCTGACCCCCGGTCTCAGATGATTCTGTGTCTAGCCAAAGGGATATATTAAACAAGCTAATATCCTCTGAATTTGTTTCCTCGCACAGTACTCTAAAAACCTTATACATATAGAGAGGATGAAATATCCTGTTCCTTTCTTAAAGAAGAAACAACAGCTAATTTCCCAGGCCAGTTCAGGAGTGTGGACAATGGTGATCCAGCCCAAGACTAGCCACGGGCAGTGGGACTACAGGAGAGTGGTGCAAGGTTGAGATGGTGTCAGATCTGAGTTCAAATCTCTGCCCTGAATGAGACTGGAAAAGTTCCTTAACGTCTCCTCAACCTTAGTCTACTTCTCTGTAAAATGTCTCAAATAATGTATCTCTCTTGGGTTTGTGAAGCTTAACGGGGAATAAAGTACGGAAAGCATGAGACAAAAACTTCCTTTTTGTTAACCACAACCTAGAAATCTCGGTACCTTCCCTTCAATTTTGCTGTGAACCTAACACAACTGCCCTAAAATAAAATCTTTTTTTTTAAATGTGGAGAGTGAGAGAGCCTGGGGCAAAAGCTGAGGAAACCGAAATTTGAAAGGGACCAAGAGGAGTAGTCAGAGAGGTAGAAGGAAAAGCAGGCAGTTATAATGTTTCAGGATGCTTTTAGAGTTCCATGAAATTAGGAACTATATCAATCTCTTCTATCTCTGTTCACTCTTCTATCTCTGAGGCCTAGCCTCCCTCCCCAAAATTTGTTGACTGAATAAATGTATAAGTGAGTGGTCAGTATCAGTTGCCATAGAGATAAGGCGGAAGGGCTGAAAAGTGTCCAAGGATTTAGCAACACAAAGGTCTTTCATGTCATTGCTGAGATCAGTGGAAATATGAAGGCAAAAGCCATGCCGTAGAAGTTTGAGGATGAATGGAAGGTGTGGAAATGAAGTCAGGGGTTACAAATAACTCCATAAGAAAGTATGTCTGAAAAGAGAAGAGATACAGCAGAATGGTATTTGAGAGAGTAGCAAGACGTTTTATATATATATTTAAGTTCTATACTCACACATTTTTTTACACTATCCCTTTAGCAATAACATGGGTTCAATTACCTTTCATACACATATGACTCCACTATCTCTATCTCTAGCCTTGACCTGTTCCCCAAACTTCACCACCAAATTACTAACCACACTGATGGGTAACTCTGTAATTATGGCCCACCCAAATTAAGCAAATCATAAGGGGATGTGGGGGCGATTGAAAAACCCAGTTCCAGGTAGACAGAGGTGGATTTTGTCAAGCAGATGCCACCGAAGTTCTTAAGGAACTTTGATTCATATCTATTCCCTATTCAAAAACTTACAACAGCTCCTCATTGCCTGATATCCCTAAAACCTATTCTTCCCCCAGTTTTCCCCATCTTTTTTTCTGTAGTTTTCTCATCTATAAAATGGGGGAAATATACACCTGAAACTAATAAAAAATAATAATAAAAATAAAATGGGAAAAATAGTAATACTCAATCATAATATTGTTATAAGGATGAAATGAATTAGTACATATAAAGCACTTAAAACTATACCTGCCCATAGTATTACTATGTAAATATTTGCTATAATTTTGATTATTTCAATAAATTACACTGAATTGCTCAAGCCACAATCCTGGGAGTCATTCTTTATTTCTCTGCCTTAATTGCCACAACCCATCTCCAAGTTGTCAGTCCTACCTTCAAAATGTATCTCAAATTCATCCAATCCCCTCTATTCCACCTCATTAATCCAAGCCGCCATCACCTTTTGCCTGGACTGCTAGAAACCTCAACTCTCCTCTCAACTATTATCCATACAGCAACCAGGTTTTTGTGTTAAACCTTTTGAAGTATGTAACAAACATTGAATAAAGTGCACACATTATAAATGTAGAGCTTGATGGATTTTCACGAAGTAAACATAACCACATAACCATTACAGGGTCATCTTAAAAATATAAACCTGATCATGACTCTGGTGTATAAATCCTTCCCATTGCACTTGGACTAAAATCCAGGCTCCTTCCCATGGCCTATATAAGCCCCTGCATGGTTTGGCACCTGTCTACCTCTCTAACATCATTTTATGCCTTTCAGTCACTCCTCATTTCCCCTTCTGCTATATATTTTGCCATATATTCCTCAAATACGCCAAGTTCTTTCCCATCTTAGGTCCTCCACAATTATTGATCTTCCTGCCTAATATTCTTTTCCCCCATCTCCTCATATGGGTGGCTCCTTATAATTTAGATCTCAGTTTAACTGCAATCTCCTCAGAAAGGCGCTCCCTGATGACCCAATCTAAATTAACCTAGAGCCAAATTTCTTTTGGCTTAAGGCAGGAAGTGACCTGATATAGTGTTTTCCTGCCAATATGGGTAAGGGATATTACATTACTGGTGTTAATTTAGTTCTACCCTGCCAGCCTCCACTGTCCTCCTCTCAGTCCTCCTATCCAATTTATAAATTATGTATTAGTTTCCTTACTTGTTTATTTCTCCCTCCCCAATTATACTCTAAATTCCATTAGGGCAGATACCATGTCTGTTTTTATTGCTACTTTATACCCAACACCTAGCATAATGCTTGGCATATAGGAGGTACTCAACATTTGTTAAATAAATGAATGTATGTCCACAGGCAAAGTACTAAAACTAGCATTTAAGACCTTCCATAATGCACCCAAATCTACTTTTCAAACCAGTTTCTATTCCTTTCAGTGGCTCCACGGTTAAAGGAAACTAAGTAATTTCCTCCTCATATACACTCCATGCTGCTCCCTTACCCTGAAAAGCCCTATTATTACTATGACTTCCCCCAAAAGTACTCACCTTTTGAGGTCCACCTAATTAACAAAACTTTCTCAGTGGACATTTGCTACAATATGAGGTACAGGAGACACCAGTTTACACCAATGTATTAGAAAGCAACTGGCAGAGAGAAGCTGAGATAAAATATGAAGTTAGAAATAAAGTTATTGTTTGGTTACATAGGCCTTATGTTTAAGCTAAATAGTTTCTCCCAGGCGGTAGTTACCACTTCCACTGAACTCACACATTAACCTAGCTGATGGCTTTTAATACCTTTTAACGTAAGTGCAATCACTTTTTGTGTCTTATCATCTATTAAACTATAAACCTGAGGTTGGGATTTGCAATGAGGTGTTTATTTGTTGGCTGTAATAACTGACATTTGTTATTTTTTACCATCTTTCCTTTTTCTCATGCAATGACTTTAGTTTTGGAGCATCCTTAAAGGATTCACAGCCTCCAGGACTGCAGCTCGAGAAGACAGCACTCCTTCGCTCATACCTATCCCTCAGTCACATTTGTACATGTAAGGTGCAACATTTGACAAGTCACCCCTTCCCCACACACTTCCACCCAATCAAGGCGTTTTGCCCTCTCTGGGTAAGAGTGAAACAGAGGGGGGAGGAAATCTGAACCAAGGTAGGTCAATAGCAATTTGAATCATAAGTATTGTGACAGAAATTTGTTTAAGGTCACTCATTTCAATAATGTTGCCTGGAAGAGAAATTGCTAATTCTCACTAGAGACATCCGGTAGGATTGTGTAGTGCCTGTTCCTTCAGAGCTGGCTTTCCTCATTTTGTTAGCTACTCCATATACTTTTTTTTTTTTAAGATTTTTTATTGGGGAATTGGGGAAGGGGACCAGCCAAGTTATTGTTCTTCAATCTTCGTTGTGGAGGGTGCCAGTCGCCATCTGGCTTCCCGTTAGCAGCTCGTGGCCTCTAAGCTCAAGGTGCTGTGTTCAATCTTAGTTGCAGGTGGGCGTAGCCACCATTCCATGTGGGAGTCACCTTGTTGTTAAGAGCGCAAGCTCTAGCCACTGAGCCATCCAGGTGGCAGCTCAGCTCAAGGTGCTGAGTTCAGTCTTAGTTGCGGGTGGGCATAGCCCACCATTGAACAGGCAACCTTGTTGTTACACCAGCTGAGCCATCCTGCCACCTGTTGGCAGCTCAGCAACAGCTCAGCTTGGGCACAGTGTCATTGGCCCATGTGGAAATCAAACTGGCAGCCCTGTTGCTCAGAGCTCGCGCTCTTAAGCCAACTCTTAACCAATTGAGCCACTCGGCCTGCCCTCTACTCCATATACTTTTAACAAATTTCTTTGCAGTTTAGCCTGTTTCTGTTGCTTTTAACCAAAGAACAGTAATTGATACAAATGTTTAAATAATTTCCCACTTATTTTAGTTGAGGTTGTTTCTCAACTTTGTCTTTCTGTTGTTCACTTAAGCCTGCATATAATAGTTACCATTGAGTAAGCACCTAACATGCACCAGAGATACTTTTATCTCTAGTCCTTAATTAAACTCTGTAAGGTAAACATCTTATATCAATGTGACTTTCTCTGGCAGGTATGTTGGTAGAGTAAAAAACACTTTTTAAAACTATAATTAAGGTTACCTTGCAAGATTTTATTTCTCTTCTATTCAAACAACTAAACCTAAACATTGTTTTTGAGGTTTCTCAATATATAAACTAATTGTCTATACTATAAGGTCCTCTGGGCAGTGAATAATACCTTCTATTTCCAGCTTTTTAGCCCACGGGTAGGGGAGAAGTTTTGGAGAAGACAGGTTGAACTTTAACTCTTATCCAAATGCAATAAACCTGTACCAGCGATTCAAATGAGGCAAAGCCGCGTACAATGGAGAAAGCACTTTGCAAACCGGGAGGCAAATTACATGAACTCTGATATATAATGAAAAGTACCTTCTCTGTCAAGCTCCCCCCCCCCCCCCGCCCCCTCAGTTCATGCTAGGTAGATTTCATCAGGATCCCTCCGCCTTTGCTACTGTGACAGGATCCCATTGTTAATGTGACACACCCACCATGTACGAAGATAGGAACCATTTTCATCTGGTTGTAGCAAGTGTCCAGAGTTATGCTTGAATGTAACCAAACCTAGAAGACAGGTAAGCTACAATACCAGCTTGGACAAAAAGTAATCGTCCCAAGTTCTGAGGAGCCGCAGGAACCTCATTCTAATCCGCTTTCTTTATAATTGGTGGCAAGATATCTATCTCCAGCTACGTCGCTTGAAATCGTTCCCGGAAAGCGGCAGAATATCAATTCACCACCACCCCGGCCGCGCGCACACAGCCTTCCCATTTGCACATTCCCGCGATCCCGCCGTCCTTAACGAGGTCGCGGGCGGGAACAACAGGCCTCAGCAGCCGCCCCGAATTCGGGCTCCAGGCGCCAGACCACAGCGCCCCAAACACCTTGTCAAAAAGACATCTGCAGAGATGCAGAGCTGTGGCTTTCCACCGAGACGACGATGCAAAAACAGCTTCAAAGAAATAAAAAAGTGAAACAAGTGGAGAATCCCACTCCAAGGGAATCTCACCGAAGGCCCCCTTTCATTTCAGCGGGTGCGGAAGCGGAAGTGCTGGTGGGGTCATAGAGTTTTCTAGTTCCGGTTTTGGGGCCGCCTTGGGGACTAGAGTGCCTCTCCGCCGCCGTCCCCAAGCACCGGCGGCTTCTATTTCCGGGTGCGCCTTCTGTCATAAAGCTGAGACCTCCCTTCAAACGTGGCGTCGTGGGTCCTTCGCGCCTCGCCTGGGGTCAGCGCGCAAGGACGGGCGCGGGCGGGGGTATTTGACAGCCAACAGGTGGAGCCAGTCGTCGCGTACGGGCCACCTCTGCTCCCTCAGAGCCTGCTGGCTTTTGAGCCCTGACGACTGGGGAGTCCCTGATTCGCAGCCTCCAGGACTGCAGCTCGAGAAGACAGCGCTGCTTCGCCCATACCTGTCTCTCAGTCACGTTCTGCCCTGTAAGGTGCAGCATTTGACAAGTCACCCCTTCCCCACACACCACGTCCACCCACATCTGCGTTAACTTCGTTCTTAACCTCCTTGAGACCCCTCCCTCCTGCCTCCAGAAGCGGTCTTCTTCTCCTGTTCCCATAAAAATTGGGAGGAGTTTCGGGTATCCTGCAGAAAGGTGACTTCTCAGCCAGAACCCATTTGATACCCAAAACAAGTTCATGCTTACTCGCGAGTGTGTGGGCAAAGTGAAACCCAGTGCACACAGGAAACTATGGCTGAGCACGGGGCTCACATCACAACTGCTTCTGTGGTGGATGACCAGCCATCCATCTTTGAGGTGGTAGCACAGGACAGTTTAATGACAGCAGTGAGACCGGCTCTTCAACATGTGGTCAAGGTAAGGTATTAATTCTTTGAGTGGTTTTAGGGACGACTGGGTAAAAATCAGTAATTTCAAGTATTTCGTAGCCTCAGTTTGAAATGACCAATTAGCATATAATTCATCCTATGATGTAATCGTTATTGAATCCCTGTTATGTGTAGAGCCCTGTAATGAATACCTAGCACTTCAGGGCGGATAGGGTAGACCCCAAAAGAAGTTACTTGTTTAATCCCAAAGTGTAGAATCTAGAGGGGTAAAGGAAACGTAAATACAAGGCATAGTAGCTGTGAAATGCAGCAAATTTCATTTATTCATTTACTTTGCTTTAGGTTCTTGCAGAATCAAATCCTGCCCACTATGGCTTCTTTTGGAGGTGGTTTGATGAAATCTTTACCCTGCTGGATCTTCTGCTCCAGCAGCATTATCTGTCTAAAACCAGTGCCTCATTTTCTGAAAACTTTTATGGCTTGAAGCGGATTGTAATGGGGGACACACACAAGCTTCAGAGACTGGCCAGTGCTGGTCTCCCAAAGCAGCAGCTTTGGAAGTCAATTATGTTCCTGGTTCTTCTTCCCTATCTGAAAGTGAAGCTGGAGAAGCTGGTTTCTAGCCTGAGAGAAGAGGACGAATACTCTATCCATCCCCCTTCTTCCCGCTGGAAACAATTTTACAGAGCCTTCCTGGCAGCCTACCCATTTGTTAACATGGCCTGGGAAGGCTGGTTTCTTGTACAACAACTTCGGTACATCCTAGGCAAGGCTCAGCATCACTCACCGCTTTTAAGTCTGGCTGGAGTTCGGCTAGGTCGGCTTACAGTTCAGGATATACAAGCTCTGGAGCAGAAATCAACGGAAGCCACCATGATGCAGCAACCCGCCAAGAGGTAAGGCCTTAACATTTCCCCAAAATCTTTAACCCTCCATTGGGCGCAACTGATCTCACAGATTCATTGCACACAAATTTTCAAATGTCTAACACTTAACTATCATGACACATCACTTCCGTTATCTTCCCCCTCTGCCAGTCGTATTTGTGACTTAGTAAAGATGTATT